TTTTATGAAGGGCGGCCGAAGGCCACCAACGCAAAAATAAGTTCTGCGCAAAACAACCTTGATACACCCCGGTGTTGGATCGACCAGGGTTATTTTTTTGAAGCGCGGCCGAAGGCCGCCAACTCAAAAAGGAATTCTGCGCAAAAAAACCTTGATACACCCCGGTGTTGGACCGACCAGGGTTATTTTTTTAAAGGGCGGCCGAAGGCTGCCAACAAAAAAGAAGTTCTGCGCGAAAAATATTTTGATACACCCGGTGTTGGACCGACCAGGGTTATTTGTTTTGAAGCGCGGCCGAAGGCCGCCAACGCAAAAAGAAGTTCTACAAGAAAAAAGTAATATTGTCATAGAGGGTATAACATAATACTCAACATCAATGCTTTGTAATAGTTTATTTCTCTAGGTTTTGGATTCCTGTATTTGGGGCTCCTCTGCGAATGGCAGGCACCTTGCCGTGGTGCAGGGGCTTAATCGCAGGCATTCTCGGCATTTCCCAACTGGTTGCACCCTCACACTGGTTGTCAGAGGCCGTATGCGTGCGACAACCAAGAGCTGCCACCTCCTAATCCAGGGTGTTATGCGACTCCCGTGCCCATTGGATGATTTGCAGCCAGGAGGTAAATTCGGCTGTATTCTAACGGAGCCTTCCCAACACCGGGCCGCATTGGGAAGTAACGGTGGCCTTACCGCGTCAAGGAGCTCTGGCGCGGCGGACTCTTTGTTCCCCTTACCGAAAGCTGACCCGACGGCTCGCCTCGTCGAGCCAAGGGTCGTACGAACAAGATGAATAACAAAAACAAAACCACAACAACAACATCAAACGGATCTCGGCAACAACAACAGCAAACGACTATGGACACTGGCAACGACAAGGGCAGCGGTACAGGTAAGGGCGAATCAGAGGTTAAACGAAAGTTCAGCTTCCTGGACGCCCTTTCGCCAGAATAGCGAGCGCTGTTCGAGGAGCATGCCAGGGATGACGACGATGACATGCCCTCGTGCAGCGGCGTTCAGCAGGTGATTTCGACTGCGGCCGCTGCGGAAAAAGCAAAAGAGAACCCCACGGAGACTCTCTCAAGCAGGAGCAACTGCTCGGATGCAGAGGAGTCGCAACGGGCGACCTCCGGTGGGGCTCGTAAGCGGAAAAGGAAGAGGGGAGGCAGACTACCCCCCCTGCCACCAACGGGATGTCCGGCACCGGAGCGGACTTCTTCGTGGCAGCGGCCTATTTTCCGGGGCAGACTCCGATAGCACCCCCAGAGGCAATCGGCAACCTGGTAGAGCACTGCAGGCGGAATAAACTGCCCCTCATCATGGGCTGCGATGCGAATGCCCACCACACCGAATGGGGCAGCACGGACTGCAACACACGGGGTGAGTCTCTTATCGAGTTTATAGTCAGTAAGAATTTAAGTATAGCAAATGTGGGGTGCGAACCCACTTTTGTAACTAGTGTCAGAAGGGAGGTGCTTGATATCACGCTCAGTAACGAGTCTGAGGTAGGGCTGATCTTACAATGGAGGGTATCATCGGAACCCTCCATGTCGGATCACCGTATCATAAGATTCGTGCTGGGGATGGGGGTCAAGCAACTCCCTCCCAAACGTATCCCTGGGAACACGGACTGGGCCGTTTTCAGGGAATTACTCGCAACTAGAATTAACAGTAGGGAGCAGTTGGATAGAAGCGCAACGGCTTCTGGATTGGAGAGCAGACTGTCTGCCCTAAACCAATCCATTATAGAAGCTTATCATAGCAGCTGCCCCCTAAAGACAACCGCCAAGGGCGGTAAATGCTCCTGGTGGTCTAGTAAACTCTCAGTACTAAGAAAAACGGTGCGCAAGCTATTCAATAAGGCTAAGCGCACCGGAAACTGGGAGGATTACAGATGCAGCCTAACTGCTTACAATAAGGAGATTAGGACCGCGAAACAGAAGAGCTTTAGGAAGTTCTGTGAGAGCGTCTCCTCTACCCCAGAGGCAGCTAGACTGCATAAGACTCTGGCTAGAGGCAAGACGGACACAGTACTAGCGATCAAACGATCTGATGGGACCTATACGTCCAGCGCAGAAGAAAGAGCTACGACTCTTCTACTAGCGCATTTCCCGGAGACGATTCAAGAATACCAGATTCGACCTATGGTCGAACGAAGGCCGTTACGCTTGGACTGGACAGTCGCAAAACAGCTCTTCACTGCAGACTCCATCAAGTGGGCTCTGGCCTCCTTTGAAAAATATAAGTCACCGGGTGCGGATGGTATCCTTCCAGCTTTTCTGCAACAGGGGGAGCAGGTGCTACTGCCCCACCTTGTTCGGCTGATGAGGGATAGCCTAGCGCTGGCATATATCCCAGAACCATGGCGCACCGCAAAGGTGATCTTCATACCCAAAGTAGGGAGGAAAGACTACTCATTGGCGAAATCGTTCAGGCCAATCAGTCTTACTTCCTTCCTACTCAAAAGTATGGAAAAGATCATAGACCATGAATTACGATCGAAGGTGCTGAAGGCTTCACCGCTTCATGAGAAGCAACATGCTTACAGAGCAGGTAGGTCAACAAACACTGCTCTGTACCAGCTTACCTTAGAGATCCAGAATTCGTTAGATGGGGGCGAGGTGACGCTATGCGCCTTCCTCGACATAGAAGGTGCTTTTGACAACACGTCTCACGAGAGCGTGTCAAGAGCACTGGAGAAAAGGAGTGTGGCAGCACCAGTGCGCAGATGGATTGCAGCCTTACTGCGCACTAGGGTGGCGGAAACCGCAGTAGGAGAAACGAAAATTCGTCTGGGAACAACAAGAGGCTGCCCACAGGGTGGAGTGCAATCCCCCCTACTTTGGAGCCTAGTTGTGGACGATCTCCTTGAGCGGCTGACTAGCAATGGAATCCGCTGTCAGGGATATGCGGATGACATTGTTATCTTAGCTAGGGGAGAATTTGAAGACACACTCTGCGATATCGTTCAGAGGGGATTGGTACTGGCAAGGGATGGTGTAGTGGGGTTGGCTTAAACATCAACCCCGCCAAAACTACAATCATTCCCTTCACCAGACGGAGGTCACTGCCGGGCCTCAGAAATATATCCCTGGACGGCAGAGTGGTTGATATGGCCAGCACGGTCAAGTATCTGGGCTCCACGCTGGATTCCACACTGCGATGAAATCAGCACGTGGACCGTACCCTAACCAAAGCTCCAAACTCACTCATGGTGTGTAACCGACTTGCTGGAAAATCCTGGGGGTGCTCCCCAAGGTCTATCAGGTGGATGTACACCATGATCGTGAGACCGATTATCACGTATGGAGCGGTATCGTGGGGTTCGAAAGCATCGCAGACTTCGGTAGGACTTAAACTGTCGAAGCTGCAAAGACTTGCCACCATCTGCGCGTCGGGAGCAATGCGAACGTGTCCGACCGCAGCACTGGAGGTCATGCTAGAACTTTCACCGTTACACCTGGTAATCAAACAGACTGCCAAACGAACTCTGCTCCAAATGACAGCAGAGGGAGCTGGCAAAGGGAAGGTAATCTCATCCCAGCAGATGAAAGAGCTAAGTGAGGAAATACCACTAGCCCTTCTCCCAAGGGATAGCATTACCAAAGTAGTAAACTTCAGCAGGAAGTTCCAAGTAACCCTTGGCAGCAAATCTGAGGGGAATGACTCTTCACTGGACCTGCTGCTAAGGGGTTGCACCATCAAGTGGTACACCGACGGGTCGAAAACGGAGGAGGGGATTGGTGCAGGGGCCGCTGGGCCAAGCACCAAACTCTCCATTCCCATGGGAAGTTTCCTTAGCATTTTCCAAGCCGAGGTCTATGCTATAAGTCGGTGTGTAGGAATAAATCTCCAACGCAACTATCGCAATAAAAGTATCGCTATACTCAGCGATAGTCAGTCGGCACTAAGAGCGATCTCTGCCTATGAGGTCAGATCTCTCTTAGTGATGGAGTGTATAGAACGGCTGAACAGCCTATCTAAGCACAACCGAATGCACCTTATTTGGGTGCCTGATCATAGGGGTATAGCTGGGAACGAACTAGCTGACGAGTTTGCTCGCTCTGCAGCCTCTACAAGAATGGTAGGCCCGGAACCATACTTAGCGGTTGGTCCACATACCATCAAAGAGCTCCTCCGTAGGGAGGAAAGAGCAGACAGGGAGATACATTGGCAACAAGTCTTCTGCAAACTGCCGGTTCTGCGACATAGAGCCGGAAATCCCCGAACATCTGCTGATGAACTGCACAGCAGTCTGCAGACGCAGAATCAAGGCCCTGGGATCCATGGTTCCACACAGGGATTGTATCGCCTCACTAGCACCCAGCAGAATTTTGGAATTTATCAATATGCTGGGCCCAGATGACACGATATGACTTAGGGGAGGGCACAATAGACCGTAGGTCGCGGTGCATACCTCAAAATTAATCTAAATCTAAATCTAATTTGGGATATTATCTGTTTTAATTTCTTTCAGTTCAAATACAAAAGATGTCGATAAGGTAACACTGGTTATTTCAAATTTTGCAACCCTTTTGTTATTGTCAGAATTAATAGAATTTAACAATAATCCAATTATTGAATTAAACTATTTTTGCACTATATAATGTAAAATAAATGTGTACAAACGTATTAGTGAAGTGTTAGTGGATATAAAAGTGGAAAATATAAGTGTATAACTCATTCGAAATGGGAAAAATGCGTACTTTAAATAGTCGAAATTTTGAACTTTAAACCCAATTATCTCGAAAACTATAAGTTTCCCCCGGCTGTATCTATATATATTCTTGATCTGGAGGATCTCCTCTATCCGCCCATACCCATTTTATCCCCGAAAGCGTGGGACGTTATACTAAAGTTTTCCCGAATTTTATTTTAAAAAAATGATTTTAAGGCTACCAAGTTATCCAAATAAGACTTTACATCTGGAATTACCAGACTATATCTTAAGTGAAATTTTGTAATTTTATGAAAATTATTGGTAAGTCTAGATAAGTGATACACCATCGATATTCAAAATAAATTATCGATAGTGAGATGAAAATAAAACTATCGATAATGTTGATAGTGCCACCGATTTTTTTAGCTCTAGTAATTTGCCTTTTGACCATCGTAAATTTATATATAGATCTTATACCATGCTTTTGACTTCAACTCATTGTAGACACATGTTTCGAATTTTTTGGAACACATTTATTTTATAGAAACCCGATTAAAAAGTCTTCTAAGTTTAAAATGCGTCGTTTAAAAAAGGTTAATAAATATGTGTTGTTTAGTAAAAATCTATTACTTAAATAAAAATTCGGTTTACTTATATTTGATAATTTTATTATTAACTAATTAACAGTATCAGTCTGGAGAAGCAGCGCAATATATTACGCGCCGCGCGGCTTTGCGTAAATTACAATTGTCGTTGAACGATTTTCGCCGCCTATGTATAATAAAAGGTGTCTATCCACGTGAGCCTAAACATCGTAGAAGAGCTCAAAAGGGGTCTTCTGATATTAAAATACTATACCATGCGAAAGATATACGGTTTCTCCTTCATGAGCCTATTGTTTGGACGCTAAGAGACTACAAGGTTGGTTTGTTACTAATTTTTCTGTTAATAGTGTCAATACATTCTATACCTTTTAGATTTTTGCAAAAAAAACTGGGAGAGATCGCGCTATAAAAGATTTTCGTAATTTAAAGAGGCGCTTGGCATTATATCCAGAATTGCGAATAGATCATATTGTAAAGGAACGTTATCCAACGTTTATTGATGCAATTAAAGACCTCGATGATTGCTTGACGTTACTTTTCTTATTCAGCACATTTCCTTCATTACGTTTAATTCCACGTGATCAATCGTTTTTATGTAGACGGCTTACTATAGAATTCCTGCATTATATTATCAGTTCAAAATCAATTCGGAAAGTTTTCATATCGATTAAAGGATTTTATTTTCAAGCGGATATTAAGGGGCAAAAAGTTACGTGGATTATGCCACATCATTATCCTTTTAAGCCTCATTCAAAAGCAGAAGTGGATTTTAAGGTTATGTCGATTTTTGTTGAGTTTTATACAATATTGCTTGGGTTTGTAAATTATCGTCTTTACCATAGTGTAGGTTATACTTACCCACCTAAATTTCGGTCAGAAATACATAATGATTTGCAAGACAATTTTAAAGACGAATTATCATATGTATCAGATCGTATCGCGGCGCTTAATTCTGATTTAATATTCATAGAAAATGAACTAGAAGACGAAATTGAGATCATGGACCTAGATTTTCTTGAGCAGAGTCAAAGTTCAAATCGTATACGGAAACTAAAAAAGGAAGCAAAAGAACTTAAGGCACTGCGTTCTCTTTTTAAAGGTTTAAAGTTTTATATCAATAGAGAAGTACCACGAGAACCAATAGTAATTTTGATACGATCATTTGGAGGTAAAATTTCTTGGGACTCTACAGTGTTTGTTGGAGCCACGTATGATGAAAGCGATGAAACTATTACTCATCAAATTGTCGACAGACCAATACTAAGTAAAAAATATATATCCCGTGATTATATTCAACCACAATGGGTATTCGATTGCGTAAATAAGCGCACACTACTTCCAACAAACAGTTATTTTGAAGGTGTTGTGTTACCGCCGCATTTATCTCCATTCGTTGACAGTAACCGGGATTCCTACGTTCCACCCGAGGAACATGAAAACAAAAATCAGTCTGATTTCAATCAAAAGAAATGTAAGATTTTTCACAAATTTCTTATATTACTGATTAATATATAAATTTATAGCTGTTGAGGAAAATGCTGGGTGTTCAAAAAAAGAAATAATAGACAGTAGCACCATGGATGATGAGCAATTACAAATAGCATATATGGAAGAAAAGGCAGATTTTGAGGAGTATGGTCATATGCAAAACGAAGAAGGGCAAAATGACGATGATGTTGAAGTTGCTGAGAAGGAAATGCAAAAACAACAACGCGAAGAAGTAGCCGATGGTTATATAAATTTATTTAATATTTTAAAATAATTTTATTTTAGAAGTTGTCTATGAGTGTTCAGGCTGGTAAAGTCCACAAGGAAAATAAAAACATCCGTCGAAAGAATGAAATAGATGAACATCGGTTACAAGCGCGCATGGTAAAGTCTCGTCATCGCAACCTTTTTAGGAAATTAATACGCGAAAAACAAGTTAAAGAAAAGGAAAAGTGGCTATTGAAAAAGAAACGGCGAAATATTGACGCACAAAGAATTCCTAATTAATAATTATAGTTACATATATATCTGATTAATGTATAAGAGAATATATGAACATTTACTTAATATACATTGTTTAAATTAACCCCATATTACGTATCTTTACTTACGCGTGCCATTTGACAACAGAATACCAAATTGTACATTACGCTAGAATATTGTCTAGCAACCGAAGGAAATTTCGTATATTATCAAATACAATCAACTCTATAGTAAGTGAAAGTGTCGAAATTTGGATATTGCAAAGCAGTTGTTTTCGTTGTACTTTGAGCTGATCCGAACAGATGTGTGATGAGATGGCGGAAAAATTGTACGTACAAATAAAATAGAGACACAAGAAATATGAATTTATGTGAATATATACTAAATCCCTACTAATAATATAAATGTAAGTTTGATATGCTTTTACACCGAAACGACATAACCGATCATCATAAAACGTTGTAAAACTGCGACACTAGTCTCTACGGCCTTGCAAATTTCACCCAGTTCGCGCACTGCGCCGCCACTCCAGTTGAGTGGCCAAAAAAGGAATTCTACGGTTCTAAGGAGCTCAAATTGGCAGCCTGACTCCCAGTTTAATCAGAACCATGCACCTAGATACGAGCGACAAACTTGACTTTTACAATTTAACTGCAACGGACTCCACAGTAAGATCGAAGAGACAGTTGCATTTATGAGCCGGGAACGCGTTACGATAGATGCGCTCTCATCGATGTCGACAACGACCGCAGAGATACTACACTTGAATGCCAGGGAATAGCTATCCGGTCAGGTGATGTCAAGTTCGAAATATTCAATATATACATCCCCCTGTTAATTGTTGCCAAACAGGATATCACCCGAACATAGATGCGCCACTTCGAGGTGAAAACCGTTTAGCACTCCTGCCTGTCCAACGATTTTAGGAGGATTGAGTTGGCAGAACAGATATATGATTCGACATTCTGTACAATGAATGCTTCAACCAGATTTATGGGCACTTGTAATACTTCGCTGGACATTACCATTGCTGGTGTTGGTTTGATAAAAATCATACCCTGGCGACCTATGCTAACTCTCGCTTCAGACCAGCTACCCATAATTATATCGATTGAGAAACCTCTCGACTTTATTTCTACATCCGTACTATTGTTAACTTCAATTAAGTTTCATCAGAGAATGGGGGGGATTAAGTTTCATCAGGGTCTTTCACCACAGTCGGCTCGGAAGGAGAAATTTTAACAGTGTCGGGTGAACAGAGGTGAGCATTGTATGAAAATTATGCTCAGAAGTTTGCCTTGATATTACAGCCGCATGTTAGCTTATATTTTTATACGTTTATATGCAATCATATTCATAGATATGAAACTTTTTTTTTGAATATCTATGATATCATGAAAAAATTATTAAATTTCAATTAAAATATACTTCTTCAAAGGAATATTTGCAGTTGCTTTTTAAATATTGCTTATGTTTGATAATATGAAATGCTTTCATATAAGTACATATGTATGTATATGTATCTGCTATGTTTTACTATATACATACATACATAAGTATATAACATACTAACATAATATCTTAAAAATCTTAATATATTTAAATAGTAATATAATATATGCCAATCACACTTTTCATGATTTAAAGCTTACATACATACATATGTATGTACTTATGTAAGTACAATTCAAATTCAAATCAAGTTATTATCATTTATCAGTAATAACATTTGCGCGCTCTGTTCTATATGTACATACATACATATGTGCGTATGACATTGCCACACAAATAATAAATACACAAACCTACATTCATATATTCGTAAATATGTAAATATGTCACCCGCAAAAACTACAAACATTGTTCTACAAAAACAACAATCGTCACAAGTCAATATGTCAGCCAAATAGGCGAAGGCCAAATTTATAGTAAATCAAACAACAACAACATTTTCATTCATGAACGCAGGCGTACTTTCAACTAGCAACCTCGCTTCACTCATAAAAACAGACACCCTCTCATCTCCCCGAGCATGCGTTTGCCTACAAGCTTCTTTTCGCGACGATGGCAAAAGCTAAAAATCATAATTGAACAAATTTCTGATATTCCCTCTAAAAGGGAAAAGTTGCAACCCCGCAAACACAGAAAAAATTGACAAAACCGGCAACAAAGCTTTTGTCGATTTAAAATATTTTTCAATTTTAAAACATTTTTCCATGACGAAAATCTCCGTCAATATGAATGCATGCTCATATATAAACATACATATTTACGATAGTTTGTAGGCAAAGCTGTTAGAGCGACAAGAAGCGGTGGCAATCGGCGGCCTTTCGTTATTTTTTTTCGGCATAGTTCGGATTTTCTACCAACAACACAATGTTGTGACGCTTTGTCGTCGCGTCAGTCCTTCGACACAGTGACTCTTTGACAAGAAAACAAAAAACGTGAGCTTCGGCCATTGGTTGTCCGTGGCAACGGAGATTTCGCATGAAACAATGAGTGTACATACTTACACACATATGTTGTAAGTAGACAAATTAATAATTATAATGGGTACTTTCATATTTGTTTACATGCACACATAATTATACATATATAATGTATAAGAATATTTGCGACCGCTTGGTCTTTTCTTATGGGGTTATGTCAAGCAAAAAGGTGTACAAAATCAAACCCAGAAATCTGACTGAACTGAAGCAGTCCATTAAACAGATAATTGAGGCAATCCCGAATTAGGTGTCGCATATGCGTGGTTAAGTATGAAAGATTAATTAATTGTTTAAATGAAATAAAATTTTCTATACAATAACAAAATTTAATGTAATGCATTGACTAAAAAGAAACTTATTACGGTTTAATTTTGTAGCATGATTCGTTAGCCACCCTGTATAGGAAGAATATCTTCAAATTATATCTAAAGTCGTTTGCGCATTGTAAATATACGAATCTGAAGGAGTACATTTCTTAACATTGAAATTAGCATTATTTTTCTCAATTACCATTGAAAATGCTCAATTCTGCTATTTTTCAGTCCCCTGATGTTAATTGTGGACATTTGGTGAAATATCCTCATCGTTTTCAGTACCCCTTCCAAAAGTGGTGAAAAACCCTCATCGTTTTCAGTACCCCTGCGAAACGTGAAATATTTTGCTAATGGCCGCATTGTGAACCTTCTCTATAATCTACATTCTCTGCATCAAGCACCAACACCAACGCACTCGTTTCGGTTTTTTTTTAACCTTGATGCAATGAGAAAAAAATTTGTCTAAAATACTTAGAATTATATAAATAACATTTGTTCCTCGGAATTCAAATTAATCATGCTAACATTTCCAATTTCTTATTTGCGATTGTAAAAGAAAAAAATATGTTGAATGGATTTTGTGTGAATTTTAAATTATATTTTGTATATATGTAACTAATTCATTTGTTTTAATAGAATTGCAATTCCTATTCAGCACCAGTATCATCATTTGGATAGCTATTATATTGGAGCAGCATATATGAATTATTCGGTTAGTTTTATCAACTACTATCATTATTAGTGTGTGTGTGTAATAAATGTTTGTTTTATGGTTCAAGGCGGCCTGCAAAACAATGTTGTGTTTAAAGCGGCCTGCGCAGAGCAATAAAATATCTAAAAACAAATGTTTGTTTCATGAGTTCGGTGCGGTTAATTTTACATCGGAAAAAAATATTTATTCATATGATGATTCAGGGCTTAAATTTTAGTTTGGAAACTTACATACGCTGTGCCATTAACACTAGACTTGCTGGCATTCTTTATACACTTTTTTTTTTGTTTTTACTAAAAGTCGCTTTGTAAAAATCTGTTGTGTTAAAATATGTACACTGCCATGTACTTGAATAGAATCACGTAATTTCAAATGAATTTTCAATTATCTTACTTAAAACAATCACTGAAACCAATAGTTAAATGCATTTTATTGTTTTTTGTATAGTTGAATTATTAAGTAATAGGAAGTGTTAAAATCAAGAAGTTTTTGTGCTACATTCCGAAAAATTTGTTGTTTTTTTATTTGAATTGTCGGACTTGGTAGATCTAGTGTTAGTAAAACTATAAATATATTATTGCTGTGTGTATATTTTTTGATTAATTCAATAGACTTTTTTTCAGATTGTGTTATGTTTAATATTAGAATTCACACCGACGCGATTTTCTCATATCATATTCAACATATTATTATTATTATTATAACTATTATTATACTATATACTCTAATATTAATCTTTCTTTCAGTTTTTTTTACTCCTTTTATTTAATTAATCTTTTTTTCTGATAAAATTAGTCTGTTCTTTCAGAGATTACTACTATTTTTATTTAATTAATCTTTTTTTCAGATAATATTATTCTTTTTATTTAATTCATCTTATCAGAGTTTTTAATCTCCTTTTTCAGATATTATAACTATTTTATGAATCATTATTTTCAGATAATAATAATATGATTATATCAAATATATTTGTATATATGTATATATTAAATATATAGTTAAAACTGTAATTTTTTCAATAATTATTATCGATACTATTATAATTAGCGTTAATTCTGTATAAGATAAATAGGTAAATAAAGAAAAAAAATTAACATTAAAATTAGGGATATTAGAGCAGTTCAGCTATGCTTTTTTATAATACTAGGACAAGGATGTATGATTACATGTATACGTAAGTGTAAGGGGTAAAGTAGTTATAATCTGCACAGCGTCTATGGCGTCGTTTGAAGACATTTCATATGCTTTCTTTCACTTTGACATGTAAGAAAAAGGATTGTGTGGTTTTATGAAACCACGCAAAAGTGAAACTTGTTTTTCACATTATTGACATGTAACTAAAAATCGCTTCATCAATCTTAATTTTATACTTGGAAAATGGGAATGATAATGGGAAATGATACAAATAGACTAGGTCTCCAACTAATATTTTTATTGAACACTGTGTCTTAGAGTACGACATACATAATACTTAACAATTATTTAGATGATATACACATTATATAAAGTTTCCCTTAAAAAACTGAAAATCAAATTTTATTATCGTTGAGTCATTTTGATGCGTTATTCAATTATTTTCAATCATTCTGTTATCA